TTTATCAAAAATCTTTTTTAAATGTAATTATTTTTTTTGTAAATGTAAGTACTTTTTGTTATATTTATTTAATTTTACAGATCTAAACACTTTTTGGTTCAAAAAATATTTAGGGACTTAATCGATCAAAATATGAATGTTCATTGAGGGGTTTTTTCGGACTTTTTTTCACTATTTTACCACTTTAACTAGTTGTACAAGTCATAAGAATGTATTCAACAAGTTTTAGAAAAGTCCAAGAAGTTATTTAACATGTTTTGGATTGTCCAAGAACTTATTTGTTCCAAAAATTGTCCAATGAGTTATTTAATATGTTTTAAATTGTCCAAGGACTTATTTGTTTCAAAAAATTGTCCAAGGAGTTATTTAACATGTTTTGGAATGTCCAAGAACTTATTTGTTCCAAAAAATTGTTCAAAGACTTAATCATTCCAAACACTAAAGCCTATTTGGTTTTTTTTAGACTTTTCCCTAAATTTAATCATAAAATTATATAATATATATACATATATATATGGATTTTGATATTAACTTGGGGGTCCAATGGAGAACCCTAATCGGGTGTTACTTACCTTAACTTGAGGGATCTGGATTTGATCATTTTTAATGTCAAACTTATCAATGAATCGTGTTTGATATGAAGATTGATCTGATGTATTTCGGTGCATATCATCCTAATGTACATCAAATGATGGATATTCTTTTTTACACTTTTTATCTTAACTCTCCTTATTACCGTAACTCGACCTTTAAATATATTGAATTAGGTTTTTTTGGATATTATAGCGAACATTTCAAAGTCATCAATTTATTTTGTAAGTTCAAATATATAAGTTTGGGTTATGGCGAAAATTGAAGTTACGGTGAAAAGGTGATAAAAATCTCACTCTTTGATCAATCATAATTAAAGATCAACATTAATGTGGTACACTGAAATGCACCGGATCAATTCATGTGATAAGCATAATTCCTGGGATGGTGAGTGTAAAAATATCAAGGATCTACATCATGTCTTATGCTTCTTACTTTAATTCCTATTTTTACACGTCCAAATATATAATAGTATTTTTATAGTTTTTTTAAAAAAATAATACTTTGTACTTAAATAATTGTTTTTTACCTGTTTTTTTGAATGAGATTATTACACGTTACAACCAGTGACGGATCCAGGAAATTAATGGGGTGAGGACACGTTGGATGGGACTTGGGGGAGGGAAGCATATGGATATATGGGACTGGTAGGAAACCATATAAGACGAGAGTGAAAATAGCAAATTTAAGTTAGTCAACAAAGGTTTTTGGTTTTTGACTGGAGACCTTTCTCCTGGTGCTTAAAGGTTGGATTGTCCCTGGTTACAACCGTGAATGGGGTTAGAAAAGTTGTTTATTCTTGCAAAAGAAAATAGTTATATATATATATATATATATATATATATAGGGGCCTATTCAAGAGAGAACTGAGTTGTTTGTGGTAACTTTAAGAATGGTAACTGTGAGAACCAATATTAACCATAAATCAATAGATAAATTAGGAAATTTATAAATTTGGTAATTTTAAATTAAAATTTTAATGCAAGAATATTTTTGGTATTTTAAAACTCTCTCTCTCCTCTCTTCTCTCTCCGGCCACCGTTCTCCGGCCTCCGGCCACCGTCCTCCGGTGATACCACTATGATACCACTGTGATACCTAAAAATATTGATTATGTTAAACAAAATATACATTGTGATACCTAATCATATATAAGATGCATAGTGATACCACAGTGTTACATCTTCGATCGACCACACAAACGACATCAATGTGATACCAAACACATATATGATGCATTGTGATTCCATTGTAGTATCACCGGAAGATGGTGGCCGGTGGACGGTGGCCCGAGAGAGAAGAGAGGAGGGAGGAAAGTTGTAAAATACCAAAAATATCCTTGCATTAAAATTTTAATTCAAAATTGTCAAAATTATAAATTTCCTAATTTATCTATTGATTTGTGGTTAATATTGGTTCTCACAGTTACCACAAACTAATTAGTTCTCATTTGATTAGGCTCATATATATATATATATATATATATATATATATACACCTTTGTATATTTAAAATTTGTTTATAGTAACAATTTATTAGCAATACACGTAAATCATTTATAATATAAACATAAATAAAGGAGTTTTTTAGAACTTTATAATTTATGAGATATATGAGATATAATATAAACTATAAATTATAAAGTAAACTCTAAAATTTTGATCCTTGAGGTTTAGAAGGTATTCTTATGGTTCTTATTTTGCTATGAAAATGATCTCTGATCACTAAGGGTGCGTTTGGTATGCAGACTACATGGGACAGGACGGGACAAAAAAAAATAGTCCCATGTTTGGCATGCCATGGACAAAAAAAACATGGGACATGGTGGGACTATTTTTAATTTTAGTAGGACAAATCTTGATTTTTTTTGTTCCACCAAAAAAGGTGGAACAACATGGGACTAAAGTTAAAATGACAATATTTTGATTGATTTGTTGTCATTTTACAATTATTATATGATATAAAATAACATTGAACAATATTTAGGGGTAATATGGTCATTTTAATAGTTTTGTCCCGTCATGTCCTAGTCGTACCAAACATCGGACAGACAATTAGTCTTGTCCCGTCCTGTCTTGTACTGTCCCGTCCCGTCCAGTCTGTGTACCAAACACTACCTAAGGGCATGTTTGTTTTTTAAAATTTGCCTCTTAATTTCCTCTTATGTCTGAATCGGTCAGACATATAGACTTTCAGATCGTTTGTTTTTTTCCCCAAATTAAGAGCTGAATTCATAAGGTTTCCTCTGAATTTTTAAGTGGTAACCCTAGCTCTTAATACCTCTTATTTGTTTATCCGCCTCCTTAGGTCGCTCTCATCCGTCTCCTTAACGTCGCTCTCATCCCCTCTCGTCCCATTCATCGATTGAAGCTGGTGTTCTTCATACATCGCAAATTCAAGCTGGTGTTCAGGTAATCTTCTCGATCTCTCTTTGGTTTCAGATTTCAGATTTCAGAAGTAAAAACAAACAGTTTGACTGATTCAGATTTCAGACTTCAGCACCACCTCTTAAAATTCAGAAGTGAATTCAGACTTCAGACTTCAGCACCTCTTAAAAAACAAACGCCACCTAACTCTTTTTATTTTCTCTATTAGAGGGAGAGGCATTTTCTTCCATTTAGTCTTTTTATCTATCATGAGATGGGTTCCAATAACACTCAAAAGTTGAACATGTCATGGGAACTCACCGGAGAAATGGTATCAAGTTTAGAAATACAAACCTAAATACCAAACCCAAACCACCATTCACTCCTTCCGTTTGGAATCAAAAACCATCCCCTCCGTCTGTATTCAATACCGAAATGAAACCCAGGAAGTCTGCAAAACACACACATATCACGTCGTCCATTTTGAAACAGTGTGTGTGTGTGTGTGTGTTTTGACAACATGAAGTCTTTACTTATGTGTGTGTGAGAGAGATATATCAACATTAAGGTTTTAGGAGGACAAATCTATGAACATTTGTAGGTTTCGATCGGAGATGGTGAATGGATTTAGGAAGGACGGTGGCCGCCGGTGAGAATGGTGACTTTGTTGTATATATATATATATATATGTATAATATTAATAATAATATCACTATCTATACTATATTACAA